GTTGCATTCTTTGCACATGTGACACAACCGATTCCCCTTCTTTCATCTTGCAAGCCATGAGTGACTTGACTACTTCAAACTTTTCTTGACGAGCTCGCTTATGGTACATTTCCATAAGGTCCTTGTTCATCTCGAAAGGCCAGTAGTCCTCATAGTACCTTTGCAGTTCTGGGGACATGGTTGCCACCATGATGCACGCCACTTTGGTAGCATCATCGTAATGTTTCTTGTAGGCAGCAAGATCTTCAGGAGTAGCTTCAGACTCATCAAGCTCTTTGAGCTCCTTTTCAAGAACATATTCTTTGTTCTCAAAACGAAGCGCCATCTTGATGTTGCGCATCCAATCGTTATAGTTTGAGCCATCTATAACGACTTTGGAGCAGATATTGAGCAAAGAGAAGTTTTGGTTGGAGGAGGATGAAGCAGAAGTGTTTCCAGGAGTGGACATCTGAAAAGAAAGAAAGTTTTAGTTAGATTTCAAGATACCTCAATATAATAACCCAAAGATAAAATATCAAGGTTAGGATCCAACTATGAAGATTCACAACTTAGAGATGGGATGCCGAGATCCAAGTGTATATTTCATAAAGGTAGGTGAATGACGATTCACCAATTCCACCATTAGACGAAACAAACGAAGTGAAATTCCTAATTCTTTTGAGATACATTGAAACTATTCAATGGCATGTTTTTAATCTCAGATTATGCTCTTCTATTTGTGACTGGGATGCCGAGGATCACAAACAATATGTGAATAACCATGCAAATGTGCATGGTAACCTCATTGTCTTTATCATTAACTATCGATGTGCTGGTAAACCACACACGCTCCATCAAAATGACAATTATGAGATACCCATTACTACTCTTTATTAGTGCCTTTTAGTGTGCTGGTTAACCACACACGCTCCACTAACGACCAATAAAGCATAATGTGCAATTTCATGGATTAGCATACTTTTCACATTTTTCCTAAAGTAACTAGAGTTGGGATTTTGTAAAATAATGTTCTAGTACTTTCTTTAATAACATTATACTTTTAATGAGAAGTAGTTGTCCTATCAAATCCGTTCTGCTAACGACCCTCCACTAATCAAGGGAGCGGTGGGTGAGAGTGGACACCCATTCAACTACCATTTTATAGGCAGTTTCCTTATACCCCCCTTATAGACTAGCTTCGTGAATGAGGCATACTAGCGATTTGATTGACCATATTCTTATACATATACAATATTAAACTTTTAATCATAATACATATATAAGGTGTGTTTTAAACTTTTTAAAACTTCAAGGTTTATATAAATTTCGAAATTTAAACTATTAAATTAAATTTAAATAAACCAAATAACTAGATTTAATATTTATCTTTTAATTAACTATTAATCAAATTATTAAATCATGTTAGGATTATCTAATCAAATTAATCAATTAATTTAATCCTAATCCTTATCCCTCTAAATTTCGAAAATTAGGGTAAGGATAATTATCCAATTAATCTAATCAAGTAACAATTATCCAAAACAAAGAAACCCTAAAACCTTCTAGCATATTTCGAAATTTACAAGGGAGGAGGCTAGGGTTTTTCAAAACCCTAACCCTAATTTCAATTAGGGTTCTTTGGAGGCTAGGGTTTTCGAAAACCCTTTTATCCAAAACCCTAATTTCGAAAATTTGGCCTTTAGGGTTTAATAGTTATAAACCCTAATTTGCAATTCAACAATTATAGCAATTCAATTTAAAACAAATAATGGCTCTGATACCACTGATGGGTTTTAGATAAAACAAATAAACTAGAAAACAATTCCTAAGTTCACATGCAACCTACTTTGGATCTATGTTTTAACTATTGAACATACAACTTTGAATTGCAAAACAAGAACCCTAGAGGAGGAGGCTATTTTTGAAAATAGTAAACTATGGTTTAGGAGTTACATACCTTTCAATTGTTATAGCAAACAATTGACAATTCCCTTGATCTTGATCTTGATCTTGATCTTCTTGGAAGCTTAGCACCACAAGTGTAATGCCTCTAATGGAATCACACCCAAGAGCTAGCAAGAAAGAAACTAGAAGGAGAGAGGATGGAGAAAGTATGAAATTTCGGCCTAGATATCTTCCAAAGAATAGAGTGACCTCAAATGTGAGCCAGGAGGCTCCTTAAATAGCTGAGGGATCTAGGGTTTAGGGAAAAACCCTAATTATCCTTTGCTTAGGGCCTAAGCAAAACCCAAGGGCCTTATCTGGACCCCTTGGACGAAATCTCTAGGGTTTCCCCTATAGATTTCGTCCACCTCCTTTCCAAGGAGGTTCTGGAGCCTTCCACTCAACTATTAGATAATTGCAAACTAGTCCCTGCACTTTACAATTAATACTTTTAACCCCAAAATTAATTCTGATTAATTTCTGGCTAACTATTAATTAAACATAATGATTTCTAATTAATATATTAATCTATTAACATATTAATAAATCATTTATATATTAATTTATTAATCTTATAAATTAATATCTCTCCTTTCATAATTTCCTTGTCCAGTTGCTAGGTTGAGGGCAACCCAAAAGGACTGTGCTGCTATCAATTCAAGTACATATCAATTATAGTTATGGGCTTAGACACCTAATCCAACATTAACAACAACTATTTTCTGTTAATTAGCTAAGTAATTAAGCTGCATGAACATCTCTTAACTACTTATCTCATGTGATTTATGTGAACATATTGTTATATGCCTAGGAATAATGAATGTGAAACTAGGGTTAACTAGAAAATAGGTAAATTAATGTGTGAGCCTTGTGTGACGAACCATCAACAAGAGGTTAATTGAATTAGTAATTTGTTTAGCTTATTACAAGTCTTACTTAACCCGAATCAATAGTCTAGGAAACTCATTAGTTTAACCAATTGGCCAATGTTTGAATTAATTTGTTTTCTAAGGATTAGTAATAGCGAACGTGAACCTAATCACACTAATCGGTAGCCAATAACGAATAATCCATTGCACTTACCATAAAATCAACCATAGGAGTAAATGAGTCGAACCTAAACATAAGTCTTCTCCATTATTGAATTTAGTGATTGTTTATTTGATTTAGCTGTTAGTTGCTTAGTTTGAGTTTTATTTCATTGTTAAGTTTCTAGTCTTGCAAAACTAGAGAAACCCCCATTTCTATTACTTGTTTTATTTAGATAATATTAGCATTTATTTTAATTGTTTACCGTTCCCTGTGTTCGATACCCTACTTGCTTGAACTATATTACTAATCGATAGGTACACTGCCTTTCGTGTGTTTATTTTGTGTCTAAGTTAGTAGGATTAAAACTAGTTAGTTTTACACACATCAGTATGGATGATGCATGTGTTGATGATGTGGCACCCATAGTACCAACATGTGAAACAAATGTTGGGGCAGATGCAGTACCAACAGATGATAATGTGGTACGAGATGATGATGACGACAATGCTGGTGTAGATAATGGGGTAGATATATTACTAACAGATTTTGCATCATCGGTACGTTTGTTTATGAACCGTACATTTGTATGTTGCTTTTGTTTCAATGTGTCTCTTAATAAGAATTGTAACATCTTTCCTAAAATTTTAAAAACTTAGGAAGTTATAAATCTGTTAGGTCACAGATATTATAGAAATATCTTACTAAAAATTTAAGTGTACTACTTTTTACATTAAAATACCAATGTACTTTTGTTTGCTTATTTATTTTAGCATCCTACTTTTTACTTTGAAAAATACAAAAACTAAAAGTATAATGCAAATACTTTAATGAAAGTATATTGCTATTTTTTGCAAAAAAAAATGAAAAAAATAACAACTTACAATGTCATAGTAAGTATAAAAGATAAAGCACAAAGCTTAAACATGATGGTTTTGTTATTACCTGGATTGGATTGGATTGGACTGGATTTGATTGGATTAGACTGGAGTGGAGTGGATTGGAACCTGGAACCAAGAAAAAGTTGAAACAGTTCATGCCTTTAATTAATATTGCATACATAGTCTCTTTCAAAAAAAAATATTGCATACATAAAGACTATTTGAGTATGATAAATGACCGTTTTACCCTTCACCAACATAGCACATTATTACATAGTTCAAAGGAATGTTAGGAAGGGAAAAAGGGGTGTCTAGATAGTATACATAAAGACTTTTTGAAGTTAAATGAAAATAACTAGAATAAGTTGTGAAGCAGTCCTTCCATGTAAATAACTAGAACATATATTTTTATTGTAAACTTATTTTTATCTTTTTATATAGAAGATTCATTGATTAAATTAAATAATACATAAAAGAGTGAAAAGCATATAATTTATTAAAAGAAAATTATTTTTGTTCTATTGAATCCAACCAATCAAACAAAATCTAATACAATAACATCTTAATAAAATCTGAATTATTAAGATGTATGCTCTTGTTTCTAGGTAAACATTGGTGTGAGAATTAGATCCAAGTATATTGGGGGATGTCTACTTTATTAGCTAGTAATACACAACAATCCACAAATACATCTAGAAGAAATGTCATATATATATATATATATATATATATATATATATATATATATATATATATATATATCAGGGGATCCTGGAGAGAGAATTAGAGAGGGCAGCAGAGATAGGGAGAGAGATAGAGATAGAGGGAGAGATTTGAAAGAGATTGAGAGAGATAGAATGAAAACAAGACAAATATATAAGAGTTTCAAAAAGTTCACAGTTGTTTATGAATGTAATTATGGTGCTTTTAATGGTAAGTTGTGAACAGAAACAAACATTGTGTTACCCTTTATGATACCTTCTTTAAAACAATGGTGTTTTGTTAAAAAAAAACAAATAGTTCATTACAGATATACAACGACATTAACCCTTATAAAAACAAACTAAATGATGGGATTTAAGGAGAAAACTATCCAACTTAGACACATAGAAAACATATGTGCATCAATGATGGAAATAAGTAATAAAATAGAAATTTGGGAACATACTATTTCCAGACATGTGGAAGCTTCTTGGTCTTCTTGTAGTAACGAGCAAGTCTGTGAATTCTGCTCTCAACAAGAATCAACCTGAATTTGGAATCCTTGTCCTTCCTGTTCTTCTCCAAATGCTTTCTAATAGCAACTGCCTTCTTGATCAAATGGTAAAAATCCTCTGGGATTTCAGGAGCAAGCCCTGCCATGTCATCAAATATTAATAAAATCAACATATTAAAAAACACAATAAGGATGAGATTAAGAGAATGCATACCATGTGCCTTGAGAATCCTGAGAATCTTACTCCCAATTACAGTGTTCACTTGTGCAATTCCATGAGAATCACGAAGGATAACACCAATCAATGATGGGGTTAGACCCTTCTTTGCAAACTTACAGATACTGTCTTGAACCTGAAGAATTATGAAAGCAAAGAGTTGTAATCAGATTTGGAATTTATAATCAAGCGCTCTCAAATAGGTTACTTAGATACACCAATCACAAAGAGATACAGTCTTTTATAGTAGGACTGAAAAAATATGTTGAAGTTGTTGAAATGCACAACAAAAACATCTTCAACCGATCCAAATTAAAAGAAGCTGAATAATTGGTATCAAGGTAATAGAGCTACATGCAAATAAGTAATATGAACTTTGAACAATGAACATTAAAAACATAACATACATCCTGAGGAGAGATCTTGAGCCATCTTGGTGGAGTTCTCTTGTATGGGATCTCTGGGGAAGATGAAGATTTGTTCCATTTGAGCATATAAGAAACTTATGACTTATTTGTGTTGAATAATCTAATAGTTTATGACTTTATGTATCTTCAGCTAAAGTAAATTCAGGCACTCTTGAAGGTCAAGGTGAATTGTCAGATAGTAACACAGGAGACACACCATTTTCAGTTGAGAGGACATCTGGCACAGGTGGACTTAGAGAGGATTCACTATATATATTAAACAATACACACAAGTTTATTTATGAATGTAATTGTTAAATGAAATCTATTAGATCGTGTCAGATTGGTAATCACTACATAAAAATTCATAATTCGCATTAAATGCAATAAACTCGATCAATCAAATTCATCAATAAAAAATTGAATCAAACTGCGTGTATGGATTGATAGAGTTAACAGAACATTAACTCGACTCGGATTCAATGGAGAGATCAATATCCTTCAAGTCATTGGATGATAGAAAGAGAAAATGGAGCAAAAAGAAGAGAGAAGAATGTTACCTGGTAGGGATGAAGACGATCGAGAAAAATCTACCGGTTGACGGAGCAGGCAGCGAACGACAAAGCAAATGAGAGTGAGAGGAGCTCCGATCGATAATGGCGTAAGTGGTCTGAGGAATGAGGAATGCGATCGACGACAGGTCATGCGATTGACAAATTTGATCTGATTTAGGGAAGAAGACTTATTTGGGTCATGTGATCTGACCCATTTGCCCTTAATCAGACTGATGATCGGGACGTCAAAAAAAATTTATATATAAAATTTTAATATTGTTTTGATCTTAGGAATGCTCTATGCTTTATTATTGTTATTATTACTAGTAATGCGTATGATGTGGTTGTGTGGGTAATTTTAATATTGTTTTGAGAAAGAAAATAAAACATTAAAAATATATATTAAACATTTTTCATATATTGCAATTCGGTTTACATTGTTTTGGTTTAAAGAATTTTTCCGAGAAATTCACAAAAAGTTTTCACTACTTATGCATCTTCTCATTGTTTAATTCTCATTAGCTTTTTCTTTTATCTATTAAACATTTTTTAATGAAATATACCGTTGGTATTCCTTCATAAATAGATTATATATATTTAATAAAAAGTGAAAAATATTTACCACTAGTATAATAATTAAATTAAATGGGTCCTCATGAAACATTATTGAAACAAACATTATGGCCGCAATTCATTCAACCATTTTTTTAACTAAAAAATCAAAATAAAACATTTTATTTCTTTTTTTTAGAAACAGCTAGTACAATAGAGGATAAATAAATTTTGATTTAGAGGTAATAATTTCTAAAGCATGGATAATATTATTATAAGAAAATTAGCAAATGTATGTCATCAAAATCTAAAAATTACAGCTAAAATATTTATAATGTAGAAATTATGTTATAATTAAATTTTCAAAACAATTAAAAATAATATATTATTTTTGTTGTTGAGTTTTCAAAGATAATTGTGTATTTTTAATATATATTTTTTTCAATAATCTTCTATATTTTGCTACGGAAACATATTTCGTAACTACTTGACTACGAAATTTTCCGTAGCCAAACATCTACGAATTTTGATTTCGTAGCTATTTTACAAATTCACCTTTTTGTAACAAGTTCCATAATAGATTAGCTACAAAATTTTATTTTGTAGCAAATTTTCCTAGCAAAATAGCTACGGATCTCAATTCCATGCGTATTTTTATTTCGTAGCCAATTATGTAGCTAACTAGCTACATACATGGATTTTGTAACCATTTTCATATAGAACTAGCTACAACAAAAAAACTTGTAGCATTATTTGTAGTAAATTAGCTACGGATTTTAATTCGGTAGCAACTATTCAAGATTTAGCTACGGAATGCAATTTCATAGCCATTTCCGTAGCAAATTAGTTACAACCAACCATTTTGTAACATATTCCATAGTAAAATAATTATGAATTTAGATTTCGTAACAACTTTACATAGCTATTTAAGATTTAGCTACATAATGTAATTTTGTAACCATTTATGTAGCAAAATAGCTACGACAAGTCGTTTCGTATCATATTCCTTAGTAAAATAGCAACGGATTTTGATTCCATAGTAACTTTCCGTAGCTATTTAGGATTTTTCTTATAGTATTTTAGGCCGAATAGCAAATTAAACATATCCAAATGTACAAAATAATAATGATAATGATAATAAAAATAAATCCATGACTAATTATATATATATATATATATATATATATATATATATATATATATATATATATATATATATATATATGTATATTAAATCCAAAGGAGCTTAGGAATAGTATTCTTTTAGCCTTTAGGATTTTGCCACATAAGTTTGCTGAACTTGACACTTTTAGTCCCTAAAGTCAAAAAATTTACATTTTTTGCCTTTTGATTAAGTTTTTGTGCCTTAAGGTTTTTGCCACAAATCTTTAATGACTTTAACACTTTTAGTCCTTATATTCAAAGGTATTACATTTTGGTGTTTTTGCCACAATTCTTTAATGAATTTGACACTTTTTGTCCTTGTAGTCAAAAGTTTTACATTTTGACATAAAAACACAAAAAAAACCTCCTTTAAAATTTTGCTAACATATTTTCCCAACGTTAACAACTTTAATATTATTGCCACAACATTTTGGACTTTCTCCACCAGTGTCCTTTTTTTTCGTTGTACACTTTTGACATCTAATTTTAGGAGTTGTCGACTTTCTTCCCTATTTATGGTGATTTACAATTTCAGCACATATCTTTTAAAGTTTGCCGATTTTTTTCCATATTACCCCAAAAGCGGCATAGCCGCGGGTTCTTTACTAGTTAACTCATTATTTAAGAAACATTATTTTCGTTAAATATCATGGTTAATTAAACTTATCATAAAATTGCTAACAACCATTCATGACCAATAGGCCGAACAACCTCATAAAAGCATATCTTAGTTAGACCATCTAAAACGTCTTTGAGAGATTAAACTCAAGAAGAAAAAAACTTTCTCATGAATATACACATACCATGTACATCTCCGCCGAGAGAGAAAAAAAATGGACAAAATTTATAAATCTTTCTCTTTTCTTTCTGATTTGCAAGATATTCAAATAAGCCTTTTTAACTAAAAGGTCATAAAGAAAATAATGGGTTTGACGTCTCATTCAAAATACACACAAACACTTAAACACAATGGAAACAAAGAAAATAAATTAATGCAGTCTTTTTATCAACAGCTAGAAACAACAGGTATGTTACGAAGATCAAAATTACATATCTCCTCCAAAAGTTTCTGGTAAACCTTTTGAAACTCGCAGATTTAAGTGATCTTCAACAAATCAAAACAAAAGTTTCTAGTAATAGATTCGAGTAGGCTCTATACCAATTGTTGGTTATTTTCATAACCAAAACATAAAACGCGGAAGCATAACTTTGGATCTTTAATCTCGAATCTGATTAAAAGAAAACTTAAGCAATAAGAATGGATGATTCATACCTGATTTCATTATGATATTCGAATCCGAAGAACTAGGTTGGGTTTTCCAGTTGATCTCAAGAACTCTCTGAAATCCCTCAACAATTTGACCCACGAATCTTATGTGTGTATTCTATATGTCTTGATCTGCTCCTCATCACATATATATATAGATGGAGATATACTCTAATGTGAGAGATGGAAGAGATTTTGAGGATCTTGAGTCAAACCGGAAACTCAACCCACAAGGTAAGTAAATATTCTATAAATCGGTCCATCAACAATTTATATCTTTACCATAATAACCGAGTTTAATGATAACATTACATATATATGAAGTGGTCCCATAATTATCTAACAGTGATGTGTCCACCAGGGGAGTTGGAAACATATTGTACTCTTATCTATTAGGGTGCAAAGTCACTCTTAGATGTGGAGTGTTAGGCTTTCCGTCATGTATTGTGTAATGAGTTGTATTTCCTGTAAATAGGAAGTGAGTGGCACTCATTTATGTAAGGAACCGTTTGGAGTTTTAGACTAGAGAGAGAATTTGTACAAGACCCACTTTGTATATTCTTTCTAGATCTAATATGAGTTTAAGAAGATTTATTTACTTCATGTGTTCTTGAGTTTGTATGATGATTCACTAGATCTTTCTGATTCCGCACATGCCATCATGATCAACACCACTACAATTAGTATCAGAGCGGGTGTTCTTAATTGGATCAAGACATGATCCATGATGACATTCTAGATTTGGTGATTCTTCATGTTCTTATTGATCTTCGTGATTAGAGAGTTTTTTGTGTTCTAGAAATCAAAATTTTCCTTGATTTGATCTATAATTCGATTTTCTCTCACTCTAGAATACTTGTTTGTACCACTTTCTCTCACTAGAATTTGGTTCATATTCACTTTCTCTCTCTAGAGATCTCCTTGATTTTCACTTTCTCTCTCTAGAAAACCCAATTTCATATAGTTTGATTCAAAAGGAAAGAAGCAATTATGGAGAAATGGTTGATACAGAATGGAAATTCTCTAGTGAATATACTTTTGAATCCATTCTTTATTGCTTGACTGTTGGATTGAAAAGTGAATATGCACTCATTTCAAATGGAGAAAAGAATGAGGTTGGAGAATTAATTAGTCATCCAATTTATCAAACCAAAGATTTGTTTGATCAATTGATTACAACTTATCAAGAGAGACGAAGAAATAGGAAAAAAGGTGAAGTCATAAAAGGAATTCCTCTAGCTGAATGTAAATATGGAAGCAATAAACTTGAATTTTATGCAAATTATCGTGAAGCTCGGGAACATGTTCTTGATGATGATCATCGTGTTCTTGATGTTCTTGAAGTTCATGACAAGAAGATTCAAGTTGATTATCATGAAGATGAAAAAGTTTTTTTGCTCAATTGGGGTTCAAATCGATGATATTTTGTGTTCTTGTGATTCGTTTGAAGGAAGGATTCCTTATCGGAAGCCGTTGATCCAAGAAAATCACAAGTATCAAACTCCAAAAGATTTGATTCAAACTCAAAAAGTTGAAGTTATGGAAAGTGG